GAACGACCCTTTCACAGGGGTTGCCTAAGACCATCCTGCATATCAGATATTTACATTACAATTCATAACAGGTAGCAACATACAGTTATGAAGTAGCAACGAAATAATTTTATGGTTGGGTCACAACATGAGGAACTGTATTTAAAGGGCCAGAAGGTTGAGAACCACTGATCTAGAGCCACAGGACAGAGAAGGAAAAGGAAGGTGCACACCACTTTGAGAGAGGCAGAGATCGGTACCTGGTGAGAGGGCTGTGCCAGGTGAGCCAGGGTGCTTGGAGGGCAAAGGGGCAGCTGAAGGACAGGCCCCAGGGAGGAGCAGCGCCGGCCCAGGCGGGGGCCTCCAGGGTGGTGGCCACGCTGCAGTACTTAGGCAAAGGCCCCCCAGGCTCTGCGGAGGATTCCATGGCCTTCGGAGACACCACCTAGAACAAGCACTACAGTTGTCTGAGTTGCAGTCCCACAGCCCAGCAGAGGACAGGGGCTTGGGCAAGGTGAGCGGTTAGTGGCCAGGGGCCAGCGGCCTCTCTGCGGTCCCACTCGCTCCCACAGACGCTCAGGGTGTCCTCGGGAACCTCAGTTCAGCAGAGAGCAAGAGCTGTGATTTTAGAGCAGCCAGCTTTAAACCCTTCACAGCCTGCGGCCTGAGTGCTCACCTCACCTGCGTGCTTGTTACCGCTCAGGAGATAGTACATGGAAAGCACCTGGCATATACGTAGCTCAATGCATACGTTAGTTTTTCCTCCCCCTCTTCCCCATGTGTAGGGACTCCTGAGGGTAAGGCCATACTTCGCTTCACAAATCCTAACCCTGATGACAAACTGACCCCCAGCCCAAGCCAGACCTCCGTCCCGACCCAGTCACCTGTAGGATCAACTCAGCCCCAGGCCCGCTGAGATCCCAGGGCTGTGGCCTCCCTACCCACTCAGAGGCAGCAGCTGTGACTCGGGGCCCACGATCGCACTGCCCCTGCCCAGCAGAGCCTGTGAGGGTCTGCCCTGCTCCAGTCCACAGGTCTGAACCCACAGGCAGACTTACCCACAGCCCAGCCTCCTCCACCTCGGCCTTGGCCCCTTTTGACAGTTGGACTCAAGCCTCAGCCCAACTGACTCCAGGTTGCCAAGCAGGTTGCCATGGGTGTGAGCCAGGGGAACACTGTGGGCTGAGTGTACTGGGCATGTGCAGAGGAGTGACAGGGGGCCTTGGAAGGCAGGTGCGGGAGAAGGGGCGGGGGTGTTATTCTCCATCTTTCTCTTTGAAGAGGGGGTGAGGAGGGTATTGGAGAGAAAGGCCATTGTAGCTTCAATTCCCAAAAGCTGAGGCTTGCCCACTGCCCAGAAGAGCCAGCCATAGTGGGAAGCCCTCAGGGTTCCCAGGGGAGCCTTCCGAGGGAGGGGGATGACCCTCAGACTTAGGACTACTGATCTGGCTCCACCCCGAGACAGCAGGAGGCCGGGTGGGGGAGCCACTGGCTGGGCTAGGGACTCTCACATAGAATTTGTCCCTAGTTTAAAACAAAGTAACAAAGGTGTGGGCATGTCTGTCAGTAACAGACAGGACTCTGTGAGAAGCAGAGGTGAAGTGACCACTTGGGGTGGCAGGAGAGGACAGCGGGGACCACAGCAACAGAATTCTAGCTTCTGCTCTTATGAACATCCAGGGGAGAGGCTGGTATTTTGAGACACCTGACAGTCAGTCCTTGGACACCGGTTGTGTGCCCGGCAGTGTTCCGTGGAGAATACCAAAACAGCACGTAGGGACATTTGGGGTGTCTCTCCCACATTACTATTCCCCTGTACCACCAGTTCCTGTCTCTACTTGAGGACCCATGTGGTTAGGAGAGGCTGAAGTTACCCCCAGCTCCACAGGTGGAACATGTCAATCAGCACATCCCGTCCCCCTGGCTGCAGGGACTGGCTAGGCATAGACATGTTCCCGGGGCCTCAGGACTCTCCTGGGAACACCTGGGTTATAGACTCTCTTTCCTACTATAAGTAATAAGGAAGTGTGTGGTTCTGGGAGCTCTGAGAGCCTTTCTGGTGCACTGAAACTTCCCAGAGGAAGACAAGGGGTAGACCTAAAGCAGACAGGTGGTGGGTGACGGTTGAGCGCAGCCTTAGGAGAAGCTTCCGTTACACGAGCCTTTACTGATTGTACCAGTCTGGATTGGATTTTTTTCTTCCTTACAGCCAAAAGCATCCTACCCGATGACTGCTCTCACAGAGCGTAACTTAATAGTCAGAATGTGACCCAGGACTACATACCTAAAGGCTGAGGTCTTTGCTGTGCAAAGTTAGAATCCAAGAAAAACCAGTGAAGTCCCTGGCAGTGAGAGAAGGATTCCTAAATAAGACAGGTAGGATTTCCATAGGGGACTATTCCAATTTAGGTAGGAAGCAAGAGCTAACGGGGAAGGATGCATTTGCAAAACTATCTTTCTTTTTGGGGTAGGAATGGGTTTCATGGAAAAAATCAGGGTGTGGATATTTGGGAAGGGGCCAGATTGGTGGGCGCCTTGAAAACCAAGCAGATAAACATAAAAAACAAAAACAAACAAAAAAACATGTGGTAGTCAACAGGCCGTTGTCCTGGGGTTTGAGCAACGAAGTGGCATGTAATGCTTTAAGGAAGAACAACAGAGTGAGGATGGAGCCAGTTGAGAACAGAGCCTGGGAGGCCAGGGAGGACACTGTTAACAGTTACCCAGGCACCTAACTGGGTAGGAAGAGGAAAATAGTAACACCGAATATTTCCTGACAACACCTGCCTGACTTGAGGCTCTTTGCTGGGTGCTAAGAGTACAGGAAGAGTAAGACTGGTCCCTATCTTCAAGGAGCTTACAGTCTACTGAAGAAGACAGAGAGGTGTGTAATGGCGTTTAAGGATAGCAGGAGAGAAACTGCACAGAAATGTGTATAAGAAGCAAGTAATGGCTGGGGTGGGAAGACGTCATGGAGAATCACAGTGGAGATGAGTGTGACAGTGTACTGGAAGTCCTGACTGAGCCTGGTGACAGATGGGACCGGGGAGCTAAGGGAGAAGGAAGAGCTGAGCCTAGTCATGGGAAGAGGAACAGATATTCTGAAGGCAAATTCCAAGATATGGGGCAGCGACTGTCCTTCCCAGGGGTGAGGGCAGCTGCAGGTTTTCTGGCTTAAAGAACCTGGAGAATGGAGATGCTATGGACAAAACAAGAGGAGAATAATAATAATGACACCAATAACAAAGGTTATAAATACTTACTACGTGCCAGGCACTGCTAACCTGTTAACCCTCATAATAAACGTATTGGGTAGTTGCTATTCTTTTTATTCTCATTCTGTGGATGAAGAGCTGAGGCATGGAGAGGAAGTAGCAGTCACAGTTTAAATTGAAGCAGTTTGATTCCAGAGCTTGACCTCTTACCCTCTACACTAAGCTGCCTAAGGAAGTATTCTCTGTGCAGGAAAAAGATGACTGAAAAAACTTGAAATGACAAGGTTTTGTTAACTACTTTTGCCACAGACCTGAGACACTTCCCCATCATGGCATGGGTAAGGCATAGATTTATTGTCAACCCCAAATCATAAAAAACACCAAACTTTGACAAATCAAGGGAGTTCGTTGTATTTGCATGAGGGTTAGCAAAATGCACTACTAGTATTCAGGAACCATTCCTCACACAATGCTTTTAAGTTTCTCATGGCTGAGACTCTGGCGAAGGGTGTGAGAAGGGCAAGGTGAGAGGTATAGAGAATCCTGGAACTCCGGCTCTCCTAAAGTGCTTAAGAAGCATCTTCTCAATCTAGAGATGATGATGTTTAGTGCACCTGAAACCCAGGTAAGAAATATCCAGCACAGGTTAATCCGAGCTATTACCTGCCCACACAGAAATTACATTTAGGGAAAACTACTGCATGACGCTATGAAACCCCATTTTGTGATATGATTTGTTTCTATTTGGAACCACTGAGTCAAATGATTCTAAAAATGGGGTCCGTGTGGCGGCTGGCAGTTGCTATGATGGTGGGACCTTTGCCAGGGTTGTTCTCGGTCTCGGCCTTATCAGGGTGCAGGAGAGACTGCAGGTAATGAATGTACTTGATTGCAGCTCTGAGGGTTTCCACTTTGCTGAGTCGCTTCTCCAGGTACTCCTCCGGCAGGTGATGTCGGAGCTGGGCATAGCCTTCGTTGACACACTTCACACGCTGCCTTTCCCGCTCATTCCTTTTCCGGATAAAGGAGGGCCCGTAGGAGTAGTCGCACCTCCTGTAATTTGGATAAGGCATTGGGAAGGAGAAGGGGCAGGGCTCACTATAATTTTCCAGGACCAGTGAATCACTGGAAAAGGGCAGCAACGGCAGGTCTTCAAAGTAAGGGGACGGCACCGAGGCCTCGGGGTACAAGTGGAGAGTGACCATGGGGTCCAGACAGAAGGACCTGCTCAGCGGCAGGTGGGCAGAATCCGGGAAGACAGGCACTTTTCCTGGCAGCTTAGAGTAGCTTCTATTGTCCATCATTTCTTTGTTAGCCTGGAAACATAACCGAGTTTATTAATTTGGGCAAATCCAAGGAGAGCAAATATCGTCCGTTTTCTCAGAGATCAATGTTTTAAAGACTTTTCTGCTTTGATGTATAGTTTTTGAGCTCATTCTGAAAACTAGATGGGGTTACAATATTCTGTGGGTAGTAAGGGGGAGGATTTAAAAATATATATATTTTTATTGATTTCAGAGAGGAAGGAAGAGTTAGAAACATCAGTGATGAGAGAGAAACATTGATTGGCTGCCTTCTGCACGCCCCACACTGGGGATCGAGGAGCCCACAAGGGCATGTGCTTCTGACCGGAATCGAACCCGGGATCCTTCAGTCCACAGGCCAACACTCTATCCACCGAGCCAAACCAGCTGGGCAAGAGCGAGGATTTTTGATGCTGCACAGAAACAGCATGAAATAATACTGACTCACCTGGTGAGAAAATTATTGCCTTTCAATTCTCTTCCAGTTCCAATGATTACATAGATATAGTGTTAGTCTGGTGATAGTGTCTCCTACACTCCCAGAGGCTTTCTGATCCTCCTCAGATGGAAGCCTTCAACAAGCAGTACTTTTTAGCTAGGCTCTAATAATATTTAACTCTTCATGTCTATTTATTGTGAATTATACTGATTTCACATTTATAGTATGATACAAATTTTAAAAATAAAATCTACTTGACTAAAAAATGTGAATTGGTTTGAAGAAAAATAGTAAATACCCGTACAGGTGGAACAGATAATGAAGACTGTGAAGGTGTATGCAAATAACTGACGTTTGGGAAACACTGAAATACCACAATATTTAAAATACACGTTGGAGAAATTACAAACTAGTTAATGATCATGCCACCTCACAGCATAGCCTTTCTAAATAATACCTGATGTGCTAGAGGCAAATCCAAAAATAAAAAAGGAATCATTTACTCTTAAAAATTCACTGTAATGCCCTGGCCAGGTGGCTCAGTTGGTTGGAGTATCGTTCTGTACACCAATACGTTTCAGGTTTAATTCCGGGTCAGGGCACACACGTAGGTTGTGGGTTCGATCCCCAGTTGGGGCAATCCATGTTTCTCTCTCACATCTCTCTCTCTCAAATCAATAAAAACATATCCTCAGCCCTAATGCTTATGGGCAGGATTAGATAACATTGTCACTTGTTTCCCTACCTGAGGGGAGCAAAAACTCTGCAGGCTGCACCATATAATGGGTGGAGCAGTCTCTACGCACCAGAATTCAAGTGTGAAAAAATGTAGTACAGTTCCTGTGAAAAAGCCTAGCCTATCTAGTGTGGCTGCTGAAGGACAAATGACTATGGAAACAGAAAGGGCACGGGGTGGGGGATAAGGGTTAAGGAGGATTATAATAAATCATGTGGAGACAGGCTGGAAAAGGGGTAAATGCCAGGAAAAACTCCTCCTAAGAGGGGGGTGGGAGTGGGGGAATGAAATAAGTGTGATAGGTCCAGTGAAAAATCAAAACAGAGAAACAGGAAGTGAATGATTCCTAATTACTGACCAAATGACCTGAAATAACTAACGTAAAACAAAAATCTCTGGGAGATTAAAAACTAGCCAACGTTGTGTCAAAAAGAGAAAGTTGCCGAGAGAAAATGGTTAGGAAATTCCCAAGCCAGAGAGAGAGAGTAGAGAGTAGATAAAGAACAAGTATGGCAGAAGCTACAAAATGATGGCACAATGACTATGGAGCCCGTATTTCTACATTTCTGAGGACAGCAGAGCCTTGTTCTGCCTATGGCTGATAAGCCAGAAGTGACACAACAGGATACCAAACATAAGGCAGATGCCATCAAAGCCAATCACACACACAAACTTTTTGAGAATGGTTTTATTCTGACATATCATTTAATACTATCGTAAACCTTGACTCATGAAATCTGAATAATTTGCATATGCCACAGGTAATTAGAAATGTCTAGGCTTTAACAAGACTTTGCTTTATCCTGGGAAATAGAGCCTTGTGTCTGGAGACACACCCATGAGAAGCTTTTCTATTGAGCATTTCCAAAAAGTCCACTCATCAGTGCTTGCTTCGGGAAGGTATACCAAAAGCTCACTACTCAATGTAGTAGCAGCTAAACATGATCACCTTTTATTCAAAGAACATTTAACTACAACACAATGGAGTGATAGAATGCAAAATGCAGTAATGATCAAGGAAGTCTAGTGGAAGCTGGACATGTTTGTAGAAACCGAGTAGTTTTTAAAAGAAAGCAACACAGACTATTAGTGCTGGGGTCTGGCAGTTCCAGATTCATGCACAGTAACAAATTCACCTATCTTGGAAAAGTCTCCAGTTTCTGTCCTAGAGCTCTTCTGGGAAATAAATGAGGTCTTAATGATAACATTCTAAATAGATTTTTGGATGCTCTGCTGAGCATAAAAGCTTCAACTTGCAGAGATATTAAAAATATCTAGCATGTGAAAAACAAAGCTACAACTACACCTATAATTGAGTTATGGAAAGTTAGGGATGGAGGAACCTTAGAAATCCTCTTACCCAATCCCTCAGGGGATGTAACTTGGCTAAGGTTGCAGAGCTAGTTGCAGAGCAGGGGTCAGACCCTAGGTCTCCTGACTTGCAAACCAAAACCCTTTCCACTACTCCAGATGAATTAGTCACCAGCATAATCTGAATCTTTTAACATATAGGCATAACTGATAGTTTAAGATAATAGAATAATCAGGTAGCTGACAAAATTCATCATTTACCAGCAGTACCTAGGGATTTTCCGATAAATCATATGCTTATTCTCCCCCATGGGCCACTCTGGAGAAGAGTCTCTTACCTGAGTATTGTCACCACGGTGCTGTATTTTGGATTTGGTCAAATTTAACCTGATTTATAGGTGATCATTTAGTAACAATATGCAAAGTAGCTTACAGTTAAACAGAACTGCTCAGTTCTGGTTTAGCTGTGGTTTTTTTTTCTACCTAACATGTAGATATGACAACACATAATATCAAGTAGAAAGGTTTACTTATGAAACTGGACTCCTGTAACAAAGTCTTTTGTAAAAAGAATGCTCCCCCATTCATCTAAATGAGTTGAAATCTTATAAACACACGAAAACCTGCACATAAATATTTATAGCAGCTTTATTTAAAGTTGTCATAACTTAAAAGCAACCAAGATGTTCTTCAGTAGGTGAATGGATAGAGTAAATCCAGACAGTGGAATATTCAGTGTCAAAAAGAAATGATCTATCAAGCCAAATTAAAAATACATAGAGAAACCTTAAATGCGTATTACTAAATAAAGAAGCCAATCTGAAAAGGCTACATACTATGTGACATTCTGGAAAAGGCATAATACCAAGGATTGTGATTGCTGGGTTTTATAGTAAGGGTATGTTATACAGTTTTGTAAGAAACTGTCAAGCTGTTTTCCAAAGTGCCCACACCATGGGGGTTATATTATTTTATATCAGAATTATCTTTAAGTAATAGCCTCATAATGTGCAATATTGGTCAATATTCTTTAAATAGAGATTAAGGCCATAACCAGGAAGATCCATGTGAACCTAGTTTATTAAAATATCTATTAAATTTGTTGGCTTCTAAATAGGTTGTATTTTTTAGAGCAATTTTGGATGCACAGCAAAACTGAGCAGAAAGTAGAGTTCCCATATAGCTCCTGCCCCTACACATACCCATTCTTCCCCACTAGCAACATCCCACCCAAATATATGTTACAATTGATGAACCAATATTGACACATCGTTATCACTCAAAGCCCGTAGTGTACATAGAGTTCACTCTTGGTGTTGTACATTCCATGAGTTTTGACAACTGTACAGCAAGTACAGAATAGTTTTACAGTTCCACAAAGCCTCTGTGCTCCACCTATTCATCCCTCCCTTCCCCCAATACCTGACAACCACTGATTTTTTTACTGCCTCCATACAGAGTTTTGCCTTTTCCAGAATATCATATAGTATGTAGCCTTTTCAGATTGGCTTATTTAGTAATATGCATTTAATTTCTCTCTATGTATTTTTAATTTGGCTTGATAGATCATTTCTTTTTGACACTGAATATTCCACTGTCTGGATATACTCTATCCATTCACCTACTGAAGAACATCTTGGTTGCTTTTAAGTTATGACAACTTTAAATAACCCTGCTATAAAAATTTATGTGCAGGTTTTCGTGTGTCTGTAAAATTTCAACTCATTTAGGTAAATACCAAGGATTATGACTGTTGGGTTTTATAGTAAGGGTATGTTATACAGTTTTGTAAGAAACTGTCAAGCTGTTTTCCAAAGTGGCCATACCATTTTGCATTCTCATCAGCAATGTGAGTTCCTGTTGCTCCATATCCATATCAGCATTTGGTGTTATCAGTGTCCTGGATTTTGGTCATTCTAATAGGTTATTTTAATATATCCTATTAGAATATATGATGTGGAGCACTTCTTCATATGCTTATTTGCCATCTATATATCTTCTTTGGTAAGGTGTCTGTTCAGGTCTTTGGCCCTTTTGTTAATCAGGTTGTCTTATTATGGAGTTTTGAGTTCTTTGTATATTTTAGATAATAGTACTTTATCAGATATGTCTTTTGCAAATATTTTCTCCTAGTCTGTGGCTTGTCTTCTACTTCTCTTGACAATGTCTTTCAGAGCATTAGTTTTTAATTTTAATGAAGTCCAGCTTATCAATTATTTCTTTCATGATTTGTGTTTTTGGTGTTATATCTAAAAAGTCATTGCCAAACCAACAGCAATCTAGATTTTCTCCTGTTATCTTCTGGGCATTTATAGTTTTGTGTTTTACATTTAGGTCTGTAGTCCATTTTGAGTTAATCTTTTGAAGGGCATAAGGTCTGTGTCTAGCTTTCCCCCTGCCCCTCCATTGTATTGCCTTTGTTTTTTTGTCAAAGATCAGTTGACTGTATTTGTATGGGTCTATTAGGCTCTCTATTGTGTTCTATTGATCTATTCTGCCAGTACTACACTGACAGACTTGACTGCTATAACTTTACAGTAATTCTTCAAATCGGATATTGTCTCTCCTCTACTTCTACATTAATATTGTGTTGGCTTTTCTGGTTCTTTGGCTTCTTATATAAACTTTAGAGTCAGTTTGTTGAAATACAGAAAATAACTTGCTGGGATTTTCAATGGGATTGTATTGAATCTATAGATCAAGTTGAGAAAAACTGACATTTTGACAGTATTGAGTCTTCCTATTCATGGACATTGAGTATCTGTTTATTTAGTCCTTCTTTGACTTCTTCCATTAGTTTTGTAGTTTTCCTCATATATATTTTGTACATATTTTGTTAGATTTAATACCTATTTCACTTCGGGGACTGGTATTGGTAAATGGTATTGTTTTTAATCTCATTTGTTCATTGCTAGAATATAGGAAGGCAATTACCTTCTGTAAACTTTCTATCCTGCAACTTTGCTATAATCATTCTTTTTAAGGTTTTTGTTTTGTAGTTCTTTATTTTCTATGGGGACTGGTATTGTTTTTAATTTCATTTGTTCATTGCTAGAATATAGAAAGGCAATTACCTTCTGTTATTAACTTTCTATCCTGCAACTTTGCTATAATCATTCTTTTTAAGAGGTTTTTGTTTTGTGGTTCTTTATTTTCTACATAGATGATCATTTCATCTGAAACAGACAATTTTATCTCTTCCTTCCCAATCTGTATACCTTTTCTTCTTACTGCATTAGCTAGGAAATGCAGTACAATGCTGAAAAGCAGTGGTGAGGACACCTTGCCGTGTTCCTCATCTTAGCAGGAACACTTCCACTTTTTACCATTAAGTAAGCTGTGGGTTTCTGTAGATATTCTTTATCTAGTTGAGGAAGTTCTCTTCTATTCCTACTTTACTGAGGTGTTTCTTTTTTTTGTGTTTGTTTTTTTTCATAAATGGGTGTTGAGGTTTGCTTTTTCTGCATCTATTAATAGGATCATTTCATTTTCCTTCTCTAGCCTGTTGATGTGATCTTCTAATATTCAACCAGTCTTGAATCCTTGACATAAATTTCACTTGGTTGTAGTTGAAATGACATATTTTAATATTAACAATAAAATCAATAATTTAGGTTAAATTTGTAGGTCTGAAAATTGTTTTTTATTAACTAAAAAATCCATTAATAGCTTCTAAAACCTTATACTTATAAATTTAATGTAATTTAATTATAATTTTTGCCAAGAATTTCTTATAACATGCATTTTAAATCTCCCAATATATCAAAATGGTATATGTATACTTTCAGAGGTCTTAGTACCCATGCATTCTCTCTCTCTCCACACACACACACACACACACACACGTAATTTAGTACCAATGTTTTATGATTAGACTGGTCTAAAACAGATCTCACAATAGGGTGCACATGCCTTTGCATCTCTAAGTTCATCATATAGCAAAAGAGGGAGAGGAGAAAAGTTGAGACATAGATACACTGGTAGGTTTTTCAAAAATTATTTTTATTGTTCCATTCCAAAGAGGACATAGGAAGAAAAAAGCCAGTTATCCAGTGACTGTTATACCCTTCAGAGGGAGGCACACAGAACTCCATTACTTGTTCAATGCTGCACACACCACAGCTCAAACAGCTGCCTCTCAACCTGACCAAAAATGCTGACAATATGTGTATGTCATCAATCCATGGCTTGGTTTAAAAGAAAATTTCTTTATTGCAAGTATCCAAGTCCTTAGGATTCATCCTTAAAGATATTAGGGGATGAGAAAGACCACTCATGCCAAGACTATGTTTAGTCATTAGAGTAAACTAGAAAGTGGCCAGTTTGTTTTAGGATGCACTGCATCAGACATCACAGTACTTAAAAGAAAATCTGCAGTTTGTGAAGAGGCACCAGGCATTTCAGAACTAGTTTACCATAAAGTGCAGCTGCCGGCCAACCAGATACCTAAAGACAGTCAGTGCAAAATTCAAAAAGGATAATTCAGGGCTTTGATGCGGCTGGCCACACTGCAATATAGAAATGAAACTTAAAAATATAAGATAAAGTCTATTTACAAAAGTTTTTTTAGTAAAGTGACTTGAGAAAAGTTATGTTAAGCAGTTCCCACACATCCCTTCCCTCCCCTGCCAAAAAAAAAAAACTACCTGAAAATTATCTTGAAAACCAAGTTAAAACTGTGTGGTGAAAAAGAGAATGCCTGTTTCAGGTAAAGGACTTCAAGGTAATTTATAGGCAGACGTACTTTGTCACAAATAGGATAAGTTTTATTGGCGACTTGGTGTGTGCTTTAAAAAATGTCTCTATTAATATGTTAACAAGAAAAAAATTCCAAGCACGTTTTTGTTTCGGGTTTTGAATTTTCCAGCAAGAGTTGGTGAAATCAACAGGGTGTTAAAACAAAACCCAGGAAAAATCAGTCAGTTTTTTCCAGTTGCCTGCATTGTTGCTTTCTAGTTACCTCGAATTTGATTCTCAATTAGCTGAGGACAACATGACGGTCAAAGACGGACTTCCGCTGCTCTTGAACTTGAAGCTTCCACCGCTGCTGGGCATACTCTACCTTGTTCAGCACGTTGGCTCGACTGCGGGAGCGGGCCAGCACATCGTGGGCATTTGCAAATGGCTGGTGATCCTGAAAGTCCAGGAATGGAGACCATAAGAGATGGCATAATTGGTGTAAAACATACACACAAAACAGCAGTTGTTCAGCCAGAGACAGAAACAGCTGGGTTTTTCAAAGAACAGACCATCTATTTGCCCAAGCATTTCTAGGCACTCAACTGCTAGAAGTAGGCTGAACTCAACTGCAGAAACAGGTGGTTCAAGTGGCATAAGCGATGAGGAGGTATCTGTGTCATGTTCCCATGAATCACCATTTCCAAAGACATTTCCCTTAAGAAGCAGGGACCAAAGATAAAGACAGTGGTCATTTATGTTAAAGAGAAGCTTCCCTAACGGGTAGGGAAAGAAAATCTATTTTCATGTTAAAATCTGTATGCTACAGACACAGAAAGTAGGACTTTTCCTTGCTTCACTCAATCCTGTATAGCTGAACTGGAGCAGAGGAAAGACCTATCTTACCTGACTCCCATTATATTAGAATTGTTACTTGACAGCTGGGGCCACATTCACCCTGGGAGATGAGTTGGTAAGATTTTATCTCCCTGCCCCCTCAACATATACACTAAATGGACTGGTTTACCCCTTCCCCAATCTGTGATGAAAAGAGACACCTCATGTGCTAAAATTACCCTCTATAACCAAGGGCAGTAAGAATTACTGCTTCAGAATTTCTATTTGAAAAAGACTTGAATCTTTCAATGCTGAGCACTATGGCTTCTATGCTAGTTGCTGCCTTAGGAAAGAGGCTATTGAAGGCTTACCCAGGTATCTGTGTAGAAAAACAACTTATCCTGGTCAAAGTAAACCAATGCCACTGATGTTTGTAGTCATTACAGGGGAAACCACTGTGCTAATCTATCTGTGAAGGAGATATAAACACAGCTGCCTAAATGACAAAAAGCATTAAAAACTAACTTATTGCTTTTGTTTGCCTTTTTCTTGATCTCTTTTTCCCAAACCCTGGTTAACAAAGCTTCTAAATGTTCCAACATAGGAGCCAAGTCACAAGTTGTATCTCCT